TTCAGTTTTTTATTTGTTAAAAAAAGTTTGACACATCCAATAAATTTCATTCCACTTCAAGATTGTGTCCCACTTGTTGTCGATTCTTCACAAAAAATTAAACATGTATATCTTTATGTTTGAAGCCTGAAATGTGGCAAAAGGTTGAAAAGTTCAAGGGGGCCGAATACTTTCGCAAGGCACTGTACATTAATACTAAAATAAACTACTTAGTACTTGTACTACTATTCCTACGTCACGGTTTTTCACTTATCGCGGGTCTTCAGGGTACGGATCCCCTGCGATAAATGAGGGACTTCTGTACAGCAAAGTTGTTTCATATTTACGTCACGTTGAATGACTGTTTTTATGTTGTAGGACGAGCAGAAAGCGGAGGATGAACTCGCTAAGAAGAGAGCAGCATTTCTGCTGAAGCAGCAGAAGAAAGCTGAAGAGACTCGACTCCGTAAACAACAACTAGAAGCAGAATCTGAACTCAAACGAGATGAAGCCAGGTACATTTTCTCATCATGAACACAGGAATCGCATCTTGTTGTCCCATAAATTTCTAAAACGCACGTTTCATTTTAACACCAGGCGGAAAGCAGAGGAGGATCGTTTACGTAAAGAGGAGGAGAAGACGAGACGGGAGTTGATAAAGCAGGAGTATCTGAGGAGGAAGCAGCAAGAGATGTTTGAGGAGCAAGGCCTCGTGAAGCCCAAAACCCCCAAACCGAAGCAGAAACACAAACAGAGATCTGTTTTCAAAGAGGAACCGTCAAGCGATAATTTCTCAAAGTGCTCTTCTGCACGTAAGACCGTTAACGTTGCTGCTTTTATTTGTAGACGTCGCTCACTTTCTTTTTGCATGCTTTTGTTTTAAATGAACTTTTCGCAAAGTGCCAGTAATTTCCTTTTTCATATCCTATCAGAATGATTATTTACGTTATATTATTAGTTTGAAACAAAGCTACATTTCACTAAATACATTTTGAAATTCCTGACGATATGAATTGACACAATCAGCCGCGTTTCTAAAAATTCCAGTCAATTCAGGTTTCATTATAAAGCACATTTAAAACAGCAGCTGTTAACAAAATGCTTAACAATAAGATCAAGGCAGTAATTAAAAAAAAAAAACAGTCATTAAAAGGATAACAAATAAAAAGATTAAAGCACAAAACCAATGAGAAAATAAAATACTACATCAAATCACACTCTGTGATTTGATTTAAAAGAAGGGTATTAGAATAAGTTTGACATGTAAGACTTTTTTAATGTAATTTTTCCTGAATTAGTTAGATTTTCAAGCATCTCACAATAAATACTCATTTAATTACTTTCTGTTTCACATAGTTGACAACCTGAGCAATGCCCAGTCGGGCTCCAATCTGTCCCTGGCATCTGCAGCTACCAACGAGGCTGACAGCGTCAACTCTGGAGGGGCCGGCTCTCAGCGGTAAATTATACTCTGATTACATTTGTATCTGCAAGATTGTTCAGTTTATTAGGTGATGACATAAGATGCATCTTAATGGTTTTTTTCTTTCTGTTTCTTCCTGTCCAGCTGTGACTCCGTGGAGTCGTTTCCAGGCAGTCGTAACAACAGTCGAATTGCAGAGAGAGACTGGGACAACGGCTCCACTGCATCCTCCATCACTTCCATGGCCGAATACACTGGTGAGCGTCTCTCTGACACTACTAAGTTTGTGTTCTGCTCCTAATAATTGATCACTTGAGCAGGTCAATATGTCACATAAATTTATATCTCGTCTGTTTAAGTGTTTTGTGTTTTTCTAACTTGGCTGTAGATGTTCCAACTAAAGTGAATTTATTATGATTGATTAGTTTATCTTGTTGTTTGATGCATAATACTAAAATGTTTTTTTTTTTTTTTTTTTTAAAGGTCCTAAACTGTTCAAGGAGCCCAGCGCCAAGTCGAACAAGCCAATCATTCATAATGCAATCTCTCACTGCTGCCTGGCTGGCAAAGTCAACGAGCCTCAGAAGAACCAGATCCTGGAGGTCAGTGGTTTTTTTTTTTAACCCAACATGGAAAGATGTATCAAATGTAAAACAAACTTAGTGTGCCTGTTTTTTAAGTGTTTATGGTTGAAAAACTAATGTGCAATATTTCAAAATACAGTAGTTCCTCGTTTACCACAAGGGGACCCCCCCACCCCCCCCACGATAAGTGAAAAATCGGGAAGTAGGGATACAGTAGTCCAAGTTCAAGTTTCACTCCCACCTTCTGTGTAAATAAACAATTGTAATTTAAATACTGTAATATTTTAAATAACATTGCTTATTTAAAATATTACAGTATTTAAATTTAAACTGTAAAGAAGAGAAGTGCAGCAGGACAGCAAAGGGTTAACCCTTCATGCAGCAGCAGCCCGGAGCAGAAATGTACTTCTTGATCAATTACACTGTAACAACTGAAATAACTTAACACTTTTATATTTAGTGATTATAACAATTTTACGACATGACATACTTTGAATTTTAAGTTGGAAGACAAACGTCGATCTGCGCATGTGGACAGCAAAGGGTTAACGCTTCACAAAGCTGCTTCAGCTGGAGGAGAAATGTGGGCGTGGCAGAGGGCGGAGGGAGCTGCACCTGTGGGCTGCACACAGGTGCTAAATCATTTAAAATAATTATAGTAAATAAACAATCCATGCCACTCGTGTGGCTCATCCATCAATCAGCCAGCTGTGCGTCATGTCCACTCTTACTTTGAAAAAAACGCCAAAGAGCGAGTCCCCAAAAGTCGAACCGCGAAGTAGCGAGGGGACTACTGCATTCTTTTTGAACGAAGAAGTTGCAGCCCATTTGGCGAGCTTCATTTCTGAGGGAACCTCCAGAATGTCTGAACAACTATCACAATGATCTTCCCTGCATGAGGCGTGGAGGTGCGCCCTCCCTGTCACTTGAGCTTTCAACTTGTTCAATGTGAGACGATTCCTTTTCTGCATCTGTGATGCTTTTTACTAATAGTCTCCCAACAGTCGGAGCTCAGTGAGCTCACCTTAAACTGAACATTTAAAAATGCCACACTAACGTTTAATGCTGTTTACCTCTTTGTCTTAACTTCAACATTTTTGATGTGGATATGAAAAAAAATGGAAGCACTTATTCATTATTTATTTAAACAAATGTGTAACTGGTCTCTTATACATTAGTATGAAACGGCACAAAGCTGGTAAAAGCTGAAACCTAGTTGAGCAACACTATAAGAACACAATAATGTACGATATGAGAAAGTTCTTCCATTCAGTCTGTTTTTATTTGTGAATACTGATCTCAGAATCGGGGCTTAATTTGTTGAGCCGGATCCTGCCGGAACAAGGTCCGGGAACTCTCATTTTGACCGGGTGCGTTCCAGCAACTTGTTTGTTTGGATCAGGCAACTCAGATCTCCGCCCCTAAAAGTCCAAAGTCATCGTGCATTTTTATTTTGATTATTTATTAAAAATACAACGAGAGGAGACGTTGCCCAGTCTGTGGAGTGGTTATTACAGCTGCAGCAGGTGCACCAGCTCACACACGCTCCTGCCCAGCAGAGGCGCGGACGGCATGTCCTGCAGGGATGAAGTGCCTTCCTTTATATGGCAAGCCAAGTGGCCCATTAACAGCCAGACATGTGATAAAAGTGGCTATTAATGGGCCACTTGGCTTGCCATACTTTACGCGCAGCAGCGTCTCCAGACAGCTCTGAACGCGCACAACTGCTGATGTGAACTCACGCATACGTTTCAGACATAATAAATACAAAAGCTTGGCTACAGTTAAAAATTAAAAAAAAAAGAGAGGAATGCTTGATGTGTATTAACATTAATCACGTATCAAAACAACGGCGCTAATTTGTCAAAATAACAGCGATCAAAATGTTGAAAAGACGGTTCACTTTACTTTCATTAAACAAATGGATGGATTGTCCTTAGTTGGACAACTGAGAAGGAAGTTGTATTGAGACTGGACCAGCAGGAGCAACAACGCAGGAATTAAATCAGCGGAGAAGAGAAACGTGAAGGGGGGGGACGCTTGACAGAATCTGAGCTGCTTTATTCACACACAACCTGTTGTTGCTCTAAAGTAGTAATTGAATCATTTATAATGTAGGTAAATGCAGATGTTTAACAACCCGTTAACATAGGCTACACCAAAATGCAGGAAACGGCAACAACTTTATTCAAATATTTAATGTGGAGGAGGAGGACCTGCAAGCCCCCCACTTCCCCACATCTTTGTGTTCCGGCATCGACCAGCTCACAAATCAAGCCCTGCTCAGAATCCTTGATTATTTTTTTCTTCCTGCAGAGCTTTGACAGGGAAATCCATATTTGAATGTTTTTCTCCCCGTTTTTAAATGTACACGCACATTTCTTGCTATAATCCATTTCTTTCTTTCTTCTGTCTGACCTGCTCCTCCACCAGGAGTTGGACAAGTGCGAGTCCAACCACCTGATGATCCTGTTTCGTGATGGCGGCTGCCAGTTTCGGGCGCTCTACTCGTACTTCCCGGACACCGAAGAGATCCAGAAGCTGACGGGCACGGGACCAAAGAGCATCAGCAAGAAGATGATCGACAAGCTGTACAAGTACAACTCGGACAGGAAGCAGTTCACCGTCATCCCTGCCAAGACTGTATCGGTCAGCGTGGACGCCCTGACCATCCACAACCACCTGTGGCAGGCCAAGAGAAGTGCTGCGCCAAAGAAAAGTGGGAAATAGCTCAAGACCTGCTGTCGTGCGCGTCACCTGATCGCCATCCTGCTCCTTTCCTGAACGGACTGCAGTGAAGCTCGTCACCAAGTTTGGTCTAAAAATGTACCTGGGAGGGTCTTCACCTGGGCAACATGCAGACATTTATTTGGACCAAGGTAGAGAGACGGGTTGCTTCTCCTCCATGTGCAGGTTCATTTAGTTCTTTTGAAGCATGTGGCGTCGTTTCTCTCACGAGTCGTTTTTACATGAAGTATTTATTAGTTCAGCACTGTCGTGGTTGAGAGCTCAGCTGCAGCACTAAAATCCTTCCTTCTCTGGAAGTGCTTTCCCCTTCGGATAAATTTGGACATGATGGGGGGGGGGGGGGTGTCTTTGTACAACCCTTTAGACCCATCAGACTGCTGTTCCAACAACAATCTTGTCCAACCAGGCTGGCATTACCGTCTTCTGCCTCATCAGTGAGCTCCAAAAAGCTGCTTCTCTTTCGTATTTTTTGTCGGTGGGGGGCGGCTGCTCGGGTCCCCCCCCCCAAGACTTTTGTTGGCCTTTCACACATCGTGGTACTATCGTCTATTTATTCAACCGCTTTTTTAACTAGATTGTGTAGCACTGGATAGGTGTATTGCAAAAAGAAAAAAAAAACCACGATCCTTTAAGTACTTTTATTAGTTAAAACATCCTTTTAGTTAAGGGTGTGTAAAAAGGGGAGAATTGTAGGCTTTTGATACAACAAAGCTTTTTTTTTTTTTAAGTTTAGCTTTTTTTGTTTTATTTTTATTCAAGCGATGTGAGTTTACACCGATGTTGTTTTTATCAGAGCGTAGTTCTTTCTCCACCAGACACTCCTGGATTGTACAAAGGTGCACTCATGAACACTCGACAGCAGCTTCTTTTCATGCAATGTACCCCCCCCCCCCCCCCCCCCCCCCCAAGTGTTTCTGTCTCATCTTCACTCACACGAGCAGAGCGCACGCTCTTATTGTGAAGGGTGCTTCCTGCGCCGCTCTAACCCCATTCAAACGACAGTATTTGATATATTTGCAGAGGGGTTTGTGTGTGAGGGCAGGTTGGTGGTGGTGGTGGTGGGGGGGGGGGTCCAGTTTGGTTCCAACATTAAAGAACATTCCTCCAAGGTGTTGACAAACACTGCCACATCGTCTCGATTTTCTGTTTTTGTCCTCCCCCCCCCCCCCCCCCCCCCCAAAAAAAATCAAAAGTGCTTTTCTTTAAACCAACATTTGTTGACCCGGAACAACCAGAAGTGTTGCACAAGCACTTTACTTTCTGTTTGCAGACGTTTACCTTTGACGGGCATGAAAACTAATTCTAACACTGCTGTTTGACACTCCAAATACTCTTAACGTGGTTGAAGTAACGCTAAGTTTTATGACTGACAGCTGGAGGGTCTCCATGGAAACGACCACTGCAGCCTCCAGGAACAGCTCCATACTTGAGAATTTGCTGCATTTTGATGTTTTTTTGTTCGGGAGGTGGCGTAAATGAAAGTGTCCGAGTCTATTTTTGTGTTCACTAAATGATTGTATTGGCATTTGGTCATCACTTTTGTTACATTAGTGTACTTTTCATCCATGTTGATTTTTATCTCTGATCCCATGGCATCTATTTATTTTGAAATGGAAGCACTGAAACAATAAATTTTCAAGTGAATAAAAGTCACTTTTTTGTTTTTCCCTTTCGTTTTTGTTTTCCTTGATTGGTGCATGTTTTTATCTAATCAGTTTTTATTTTCTACTTATAAACGCACTGTTTTTAATATTTGCGTAACTCACCTTCACCTTTCTTTGATTCTGTTGTGATTTTTCTGCGTCTTCGCTGTTTTTCTGTTCGTTAGTGGGTTATAACTGTAGAGCTGAGGGTTTGTGATTTAAGGAAGTGGAGTTGTTGAAGCGTCTTCAGACCCCCCCCGGTGAAAACTGTCACACTGTCGGTCAGTTGAAGCGGCAGCTTTAGCATCGGCTCGTCACCATGGCGAGCCGCGCTCCTCCATGGCAGCTGTGTTTCATTGTCACGCCCGGCGGTTCAGGTGATCACAGGACCGTCAAACTTTGTAAACTTGAGTCCGACCTGTTCTGCCGTCAGTCCGACCGCTCGAGATGAAGGGTGAGTTTGTTTCTCTAACCGTTAAAGATCAAACGTTGAAGGTTAAAACAGTTGAACCTGTGCATCCCTCAGGCGCTGCTGCCGTCGCTCTGCTGCTGATGACCGCTCGTCTCTGCCGTCCCTGCCGCAAAGTGGAACCTGTTCTGATTTGTCAGAATGTCCTAGCAAGTGAGGCCTTTTTGATTTTTACATTTTTATTCAAACTGAGTCGGAAATAAAGACGCTGCTAAAGTTTTAGAGCATCAAAGCAAAAAAAGTGTAAAGCACCAGTAATTGGATGTAAGCGTTTCGAGGAGGTTAAAGAGATTAAAATGTCCTTTTGCTGAATTTATTTCTCTGTGGACTGTCTGGAGGGTTTAAAGCCCCTGCTGCTGCAGAACTTCTCGTGTGTCTGGTTCTGTGCGGAAGATCATGATCCTGCAGGTTAAACTTGAGCTCATCAACAGTTTTTTTACATAACGGCAAAAGACCATAAAGATCCTGCGAGCGTATAAATTTAAACAGCTGAACTGGTAATGCTAACTGTGAATGAAGCGGTCACACTATTGTGATCCATTTCTTTCTTCCGTACGTTTTTCGGCGCCTTTCTCGTTCCACAATTTTTGTGCTTTTTCATCAAATCATAAATCAGAACGTTCAGCTCTTTCAGGACGACCCTGCTATGGCGTTTGGTATTGGTGCAGCTTTAGCTTTTTGAAATATTTAGCCTTTTCTGCCATTTTTCTTCTCAGAGAAAATGAACTGAGGTCATTCCTTCACATTCACATATTTAGATCTGTTTACAACTTTTTACTGCTTCTTTCACATTTTGTTCTGGTTCAGCTTCTTAGTGCAAATGTAAACTTTTTTTTTAGCTTTCTCCAGCAAATTTCAGCTGTTTAATGCTCCTTTCAGATTCTTTCTGCAAGTTTCAGCTTTTTCTATCATTTCAGCTACTATTTACCGGTAGCTGTTTTATGCTGATTTGAGCCTTTTCAGCTAATTCCACATTTGTTTCACTCATTTCAACTTTTTTCAGCCTAATTCAGCTAAAATTTGCTCTCTCCACTTCTTTAAGCTTTTTTCTGCCTTTTTAAGCTACTTTACAGCTATTTATTGCTATGTAATTTCAGCTTTTTAAGCTAATTTACTAATTTTTTTGCTAATTTCTGCTTATTCCTAACGTAGGCTTGTTCTTCCATTTCAGCTACATGTAGCATGTAGCATCTCGGCCAGATAGGGCGGGGCAAGTCCATTTAGAGCTTTAAAAGCAAATAAAATAATTTTAGAATTAATCCTAAAATGTACAGGCAGCCAGCGCAGGGAGGCTAAAACAGGAAATGTGGTCAAACTTTGGTGTGCCAGGTAAAAGCCGCGCAGCAGCGTTCTGTACCCTCTGAAGCTGAGAGATGCACGAATCACTGATTCTTTTATAAAGTGCGTTACAGTAATCCAGCAGAGTGGTCACAGAGGCGTGGATTACTTTTAATTTGTCGTATTTTGTCACTGTTTGAATAGTACAGTATTTTGCAACTCTAAACCATTCTTGAAATATTTAAATGTCATAAAATTCAGATAAATTATTGGACCAAATACCAAAGTGTTGTCACTTAAAACTTCCTACATGCACCGAAATCTGGATCAAACAAAGAATGCATCACCATTTTAAATAAATTCTCTGAATCCTTTTTTTTGTTGTTGTTCTCAAAAGAAGCTAACTTTTGTTGCGCAGGTGCCTGAGTTGCTTTAAATATCTTTGTCGTTCCTCAGACTTTGAGCCTGGCTGTTCAACCATGGCTATTCTCCTGCGAAACGTTGGAGAAATCAACTCCACCGTGCTGCAAAGTGAAAACCTCGCCTCCATCACGCTCCTCACAAGTGACGGAGCTGGGATCACAAGAATCGCTAACGATGCCTTCGGCTCATTTCCAAATCTCCAGCATCTCAACTTGGACGATAACCTGTTGTCACAGGTGAGTCCCGCCTGGTTCAGAAACCCCGCCGTCCTCAGGGAGCTGCGACTCGAACGGAACCTCGTTGAAGGCTTGGACAGGTCCGCGCTGAGCGGACTCACAAGCCTCACAAAGCTCAGCCTGAAGAAGAACCGGATCCAGACCATCCATCCCGACGGTTTCCGAGCCCAGAGCTTGTTGACTGATCTGGACTTGTCGGAGAACCGGCTGACGTGGGTTCCACAGCAAATCTTCAGCTCGCTCGGTTCTCTCAGGTTCATCAGGCTGGACAAGAACCCCTGGAACTGCTCGTGTGATGCCGAAGACTTCATCGCCTCCATTAAAGGTCGGTGACATATGTGGCAAAACAAGTGGAAAACAACGTGAGAACGTTTAGAAACTAAAAGCCTCTGTCCTCAGGACTGAAGAGACGAAACCAGCTGAACGACTCGATGGGCGTTACCTGCGAGAGTCCTCCACCTCTGAAGGGACGGCCTGTGTGGAACGTCTCGGCGTGTCCAGCACCAACCACTTCCACCGGTACATCCGTCCTCCTCACTTCCTGTTTGATTCTGGTGCTTCTCCGTGAATCCTCCAGTAAGATCTTTGTATGAAAAATGTGTCTCTTTGCTTCCTGCAGCAACAGCTGAGGCAGCCGCTCCTCCAAAACCCTCATCGAAGACTGAAACCTCTCTCCAGTCCAGACCTACTGATCCACCTCCAGCAGCCTCCTCTCCCACTGGTACGTTTGACTCTTTACTGGTTGAATTTGTTTAAATGTTACGTAACTTTCATCCTTTTCAGCGGCGCTTTCATCATCAGAGACTTCTGTAAGAACCAAACCCTCTGACGCTCCAACACCTTTCTCCAAAAGTACGTCTGCAACCTGCAAAACCTGCTTTTTATCTTGGACGCACTTTTGTCCCTAAAGTTTCTGTTTGACCCACGTACCAGGTGTCTTTGTTAATGAAATTATACTAACAGACACGTGTCCACACAGATAACTGCACAGCTCTCTTAACTGACTCGTATTTAAAGATGTTCACAACAGAAGGTTTAGACTTTTAGATACAAAATCAGTGAAAGTTAAAAATGACTTTTTTCATGTTATTCCTGCGCAGTCTTTTAACACACTTGTTCATTAGATAAATACAGATAAAAATGAATCAAGTGATGTACTGTACACTTCATGTATATATAAAAAAAAAACATAAGGGCAAGTTGATTTCTGTTCCAATAGCACCACCATGTGTCCAGAAATAGATTTTATTTCAAATCCCTGAAAATGCATTTTTCCCTTTTAATACTTCAGTTTGTGCACAAATATTTTTTACTCTCATTTATTTACATGCAAAGTGTTTCAGTGTCATCACTTTCTTCTGGTTCTTTGATTTAGTGTGTAATAGTAAATGACAAGTTAATTCTTAAATATCCTATCCACCTTATTCCTCGCCCTCATGCTGCCTTGCGTGAATTATGGGCTCGACTTCCGGCATTTGTTGATGAGCAAACAGTACGAGCTAATGTAGTTTCTCTGAGTTAATTTAAACATGTATGAACGCCACCTGTCAGAGCTCCAACAGGACAATATAATCAGCCTGCTGAGGGCGAGGGATGGAGGACGAGCTGAAGAAGTGGCTGCAGATTAGATATACTAGTATATTTAGCTACTTCACTAACTCTGTAGTGAAGCGATGAACAACCTGGAAAGCTCTGAGGTGTATCAGTATCTAAGGTCGGTGGTGTTTTGTTAAGAGGTGGGACACAATCTAATTTACCTTACAGCAGACACAGAGCCCAGCCAAAGCCTTAAAGTCCTCCATCACTGAGCTTGGGTTAATTACAGAGAAAATCATAAAACTGAAGACGAACAAATACTATAAAGCTGTGTCCTCCATACACCTGAAATCATCCCTGATGTTCTCGTCTCTGTTTTCAATCCTTCGGAGGATCCGGCGTCTCTTCGGTGGTTCATTGTAGTCCAGACACAAAGTAGGATGCAGGTGCAGCGTTTCGGGTGGTTTCTTCAAGTTCAGATGTTTCAGCTACATTCTTCTTAATTCCTCGTGTAGGTAGGAGATGGAAACTATAGCTCTTTTAACAGGAACGCTCTTTTTGTTTTGTGTCCGTGTTCCAAACTCTGTTGTTGTAGCCACTGATTCAGTTTGGGCTGGTTGTTCCTGCAGCAGGTACCTGAACTCAGCACGGCTAGTTTAATAAACTTTATGGTTGTTAAATGAAAACGAAACAAAAAGAGCGTTTTATCTGCTAAACTGAATGTAAATTATTTTGAAATAAATCGCTCCACTACCATGGTTAACCGATTCTTACTGCTACTTCCTGTGTCTGACAGGAAGTAGTACCCAGAATCATTCATACAGTAGATCCCCTGGATTAAGGTGGATTCTGTCTCTCTCCTTGTCACCCTGAAAACCTTTACTGGCATTTCACCAGCAGGTGGCGCCAAATGAACAAAACTTGACCTTTTATTTTTTATTTTTACATTAAAGTCCAAGGTTTTAGATGTTGCTTTTTATTATGTTGGAGGTTTTTTTTAACATATATTTATTTATTTTCTGTTTTTGCTGTCAGGTTCTCATGTGACGTCACCATCAGGTATAGACTGCTGCACCAACCTAAAACCCACCAACCACTCGAGTGCGTTTAATTCTTCTTATCATTCAGTTAATATTTAAATCCTAAATAATACTCTTCTTTTTTTATATATCATTTTCATTCTAACTCCTAGATACAAAAACCCTCACCCTCATTGCTGTGATTGGTATGTGTTTTTTTTTTTTGTTGTTGTTGTTGAAAACTTTATTTTGTGCCGAAAAAACAACAACTCTGATGAAAATGTTTGTGTTCGTTTGCAGCCGTCCTCTCTGTGCTGCTGGTTGTCTCGTGCTTTATGGCTCGGGTGCAAATAAAGAAACGCAGCAACAAAACCGTGACGCCTGCAAGTCCAAAAGAGGAAGAGGAGGAGAAAACACTGGATGAAGAGAGCAGATCGAGTCCTGGATCCTCTCGGATCAGAAACTCGGAGGCGGCTTGGAGGAAACAGTTTTGTGGGATCAGAGCAAAGTCAGCAAACGCCGTGATCCTCACATCTCCGTTCTGCGCGCCTCAGAAAGATGAAGCGCATCTCCAAACTGAGACTGGAGCTCCATCTGAGGGTTCAGAAAACCCCGGAAAGGAGAAGCCGGTAACTGAACGTGAAGCAGAAGCAGGAGGAGAAGCTCTCTCTGATATTTTCACAACCACAGATGACGATGATGATGATCATGGAAATCTGTTTGAAAACCCAGAATGTGTTCATGCCAGTGCTGAAGTAGTTCCGTATCTGAGCATCGGTACAGTCCAGAACAAACCCAGTCCAGGCGAGGAGTCCACCGCAGGTCCAGGTGAGAGCCCACAGAGGGGAAACGTTATCAGGAGGGTTTCCACCTGGCCTCCGTCTGCAGCTCAGTGGCAGGCGAGACGTAAGATGGAAGAGGAGCAGGAGGCCGCCTTGTCTGCTGTTTGGACACAGAACGTGACTGTGAAGCTCTCGGATGAGGTGGAGATGATTGTAAACACGATGGAGCCTCTCACCAGCTCTGATCCCTACGAACAGGAAGAGGAAACACAAACGGATTCTGTTTTTAACACAAACGGGCCTTTCAACAAGCTGGAAGAGAAGATCCTGGACCAAGGTCCTCCGAGAAAGACGAGCACGGACATCGTTCACAAGGACGAGCTGAAACGTGGAGAAAGTCGTGCACACAAGAGCGGCAGCAAGGCAGGTGTGGGACAGGACCCAAAGCGTTCTGGGACCAGCAGGCAGAGGGAGGTGAACAGAGCTGTGCCGTCCGGTGGCACCTCGCCCGACGACGAGACTCTGCTGTCCGGGAACGAGTATGTCTTCATGAACCTGCTGCATGAGGTGGCTCAGAACAACGGCCGCTGGACACGAGAGAGGTGGAGGCAGACGCACGTCAACAAGCAGCGACGGTGAAACGCTGAACAGTTTGTATTCCAGACAAAAACATCTGCACCACATTTATGGATTTGATCTGCCACAAGTCATTTAGACGTTCAAACTATGTTCATTCTAAACTCTTACATCCGTCTACGACACCACAAAAAGAAAATCCTATTAAAATAGTTTAATTGAAGGTGCAGGAGCTCCGATATCTGTAGGATTTCAGACGTTTTCTGGAGTACAACTAGTATTTTATGTGAACCCTGAGTTCTGTCTCTGTGCTCAGTTGAGTACATTAAAACAGGCGATGAACGGTTTGTAATCGCTCACAATCCTCACTTTGAGTTCAAATAAAAACTTCTCATCAGAGCGTGTGGCTGCATGCAGCATTTATTTGTTCATACGTTTGTGCAGAAGAACACTTCTCTTTAGAAATAGTACAAAATGGAGCCACCTCTGGCAGACAACGACACAAAAACAAAGTGGAGGTAAACACGGTACACTGGCGTCTTGACAACATGCGTGTTCCATTCATCGAAGTATCAAATAATGGCTTCAACTTGCAAGCAGCTGACTTTATTATGGGGTTATTATCAAGCAATGTTCTGATAACTTTAGATAAGTTTCGTTCTTGGCAAGCTTTTATATCAAAACATGCTTTTTTAAAAGATAACATGCCCTTATTTTATTTGTCTGGATATCAGAAGACATGAAGTGAACTCCTTCTGGAGTGTTTGGATTTGCAGTGAGGATGCACATGAATCAGATCGGCTCACGTTTTCACTGCTCGGCTCTTTTGCCCTGAAAACTGACACTTTGGAGGAAATACTGGTCAAAGATCTACAGAGCGACTCTGTAAAAACCACATATGCAGAACGAAGCCAAAACTAAAACCAGAACCGTCCATCTTCAAACACTTTAACATAATTTGAGATGGAAAACTAGAAATCTGCAGGGTGTATCGTGCTGATGATGCACAGCGTCACCGTGCGTTTGTTGTTTTGGCTGAATGCTGTCGGTGTTTGCAGATTCAGATTAAAGGGTCATGCTGTTACACTCCACACGTCGCTGCCGAGCTTAGTGCAAAAATAGTTCAAGTTCTCTTCACTTATGACAAAGAAACTGGCAAACAGATACATGTGTATAAAGTTCATATTTACAGTGGTTAAACCGACGATACAGATGAAAATGTACATAATAATAAATTTAAAAAAACAATACTGACATTGTTGCATACCTTAATGAAGGCATGCAGTAACACAAAATACTTAATTTCCAAGATAAAATTGGAATTGAATCACAAGACAATAAAACTTGACTGTGGCTGTCAAATTATGTGCAAAACTTCCTACCAACCATACAAATTAGATTGAAAATAGTTTTAAAACTCAAAGGTAACACTATCGAAGCAAAAATAATAATAAATAATGATAAGGTACAACTAAGTCGGATTAATAAAAACATTGATCAAGATAGAATTAATTATATTAAGATATGAATCTGAAAAAAGAACGATATGTTTTTGAATACTGCCTTTCTGGTGATGGATGTGACCTCTGGATCTGAAATGTGAGGCCAATAAGGAAACGCCTTAAAGTGCAACATCTCTGACTCCTGAAGACTCCCATTCCACAGAAAACACTGATCTGGTAAAATACTAAAGATTGTTATTATAAACGATATTATGACGTTGGGATGAAGTATTCATTCTCCAATCACAATATTTCTAGAACTTGTTAGCATGGTTAAAAAAATATACATACTAACCATCTAGTTTTAAATATTTACGCTAAAGTAAAAAAAACAAAAGAAAAACAATGTTTAAGTATCTAAAAGGGATAGATGACCAAAAAATAAGTCTGAAAATGGCAACTTATAAATCAAGGTTTGGCGCTACAATGTTCACCTTTTTAAAGTAGGCATGGAGACAGTTAGCTTAGCTTCAAAAAAAAAAAAAAAACAGGTTGGGATGTTCTAAAAACTCATCTTCTGTTAGCAAAATAATTACTAAAAATGAGTTCAGTGAAAATGAGAAATGTACCGTTCAGCTTTTAACCACTTTGACAAGCTTCAATAACTAAAACATGCCAAGCTAAGCTAATCTAATCTAATCTCATGATCAATGCTAAAATGAAATGCATGAGGTGCAAATTTTCATATTGAATCTTGTAGAAATCCAATAATTATTCAATTTATAACTTCCACAACTATACTATGTACCCAGAGACGTTTCACAGGTAGAACATAATCACTTTATGTAAGATGAAAAAGATATAAGTATATTTTACTGATAAAACTATACAGCACTTGGAAAACTCAAAAGGAGCCGTAGTGAATAACTGTGATCAACAATAGTGTAATGTAGCACATAGCCACTTCTGAGAGCTAAATGAGACTTTAAAAATGAATTCTTTCATGGGACAGTTTGTTTTTCACTGCAGCAGCAGATGGTTCGGTCGGGGTCTACAATGGAAAACACTGGTCAAACAAAAATAGATGCAAAACACGAACAAATAACAATATTTACAAATCAATAGTGTACACAAAATGGCATGTAATGTGGAGCGCAACCAAACAGTGAAATGCTAACTTGGCTAATAAAGGTGCCTCTACAGGGCGCGTCGTCACTAACGACTTGTTAAAGGAAACGTTTTTTTTGCTCATTAACAGAAAACAATCAATAAACCTGATCGAATGAATTAAGGTGAGGTAATAAAAGTGCACATGCACTATAAATGCTCGAAGAAGGCTGAAATTCAAAACATTTAAGGGTCTTTGAAATATGATTGTAATTGTTTGATGTGTAGGATTCACTTCGGTAACTCAAGTTTTAGATATTTTTTAAGCGTAGAGGAAATCGGGCGAACAGGAAGTCTGCCGGCGTCGTGGCGCGAGGACACGAAACGAGTTACACGATGATCTCGTTTCAGGAAGAGAACTAGATCAGGTGGAGGAAGGTGATTTCAGGCTTTCTGTTTCAGAACACGGGACGCCGTGTTACCATGGCAGGTGTTGTGGTCAATGACGAGGCACTCTTCATGCACTCTCCTGTAGCAGCCCAGAGGAACACACCAGGGCCGTCTGTAAAGATGGAGATTGGTTCTGCTCTGAGGTTGAGAGACGCATGATGCACATTTACTATGAACAGCTGTTCATGGCTCGTGTTCAGCCTTTGTTTGTGTGAAGCACATGATTCCCGTCGACCCTGTGGGGGCTTTGAGGTTAAGGGTCATGGCGTTGAGGACTGACATCGTTTCAAAGGTGGGTTTCATCTTTTGACTCTGTCACAAAGTCCTTCTGGTTCCTGCTGCGAGCCTGTCCCGTCTGCGAGTCCTCTGGCATGTGTGCAAGTGGGTCAGAGCGAATAATGTACCTGAAAGGACAAAATCCACATCATTTGTCCCCTTACTGAAGTCTGATTGCACCATGATGAAGAACAATCCTACCAGTCTGGTGGTGCCATCAACCTGCCAGGGTGTCTCTCAGATTAAACCATGCATGAGTTGAAACTGTTCAGATACTGGTAGTAATACATAATACACCAGGTACTTTTAGAGTGCATGCTGGCTTTTTGTACCAAGCTGTAATAAATGTTCCTATTTCCTACCATGCCACTCTTTCTTTATAACAGTTGTTAAAATTGCATTATAATAATTATATAGCATTTGATGGGAAACATTCTCCGGTATCATCACACCAAGTTTCAGCTCAATATGACTAAAATTGGCTGTTTTATAGTACTGGTATGTTTCCTTTTTGTGCTTAGGCGGCCATCTTGGATTTTTGATTTTCAGGGATCATTCTCAGCTACCAACATGCCAAATTTCAGCTGATGGCTCTAAAAATGGCAGAGTTATCGTTTTTTTTTTCCTCTTTTAGCTAAGGTGGCCATCTTGGAAATTTGATTTGCATTAGGAATGTAAAACAACTCGCTCTCAGCTACAACTCTACTAAATTTCATCTCAATATCTCAAAGAATGACCGAGTTATTGCCAATTTTGTGTTTGCTGAGGTCGTTGTGGCAGCCATCTTGAATCAAAATGGCTCCAAACAGTTCTAGACATTTATCTGATGGTTACTTTCTGTGATTTTCAAACATACCCAACAGTGACTTTGTTTTCTTCAGGGGCCTGTACACTCTTTAAGTCATGTGACTGCACAGCAGCAGATGGCGTGAGGAGTGTGGTCAGACATTGGCGTTTTGTTAACAAATCACGTCGTCATGGTAACTCGAAACACCAATAAAAGTTATAGCGCACATAATGGTGCTGAGCCGGTTGTTTTGATATAACGTGGGGTAAGCATTGCGGTTCGGGCCGCAGTAAAGTTGAAGGAAGAGTTAATAAAGTTAAGAAAGAGTGAATAAGATGTCTGCCTCAATAAATATAATTATTAAACGTAAAGAGAAGCCGGCCTTACACGATGTCGTTGAGCTCAAGCATGGTGTCGGGCGGAGGATTGATGAGGACATAGGACAGCGTGTTCTGGTGGTCGTTCATCTCGTCTGTAAAAAGAGGCAGAGGAGACGTTCAGAGTGGCTCTTATCAGCGATTGTCAACTTTAATATTACTCAAGAGATTGGGACGGTACGAGATAAAAAAATTAACGAAAAAACTTCGGACAAGCGCCACCATGTTGTAGTTTTCTTTCAATAAGCCTACACTGTATCGTCAGTCCAAAAGAACTACATTACCCAGAAGCCAACAGTGCTTCTGGCAGCTGCTTTCTGCTGAAACTGAGGGAACGTTTTGATCCGAGCCGAACACGACCACAAAGTTTGGAGCCGATCAGAACCGGACCAGAACTACTTCCAGCCTCATCGGTCAACCTGAGTGCTGCTTGCCGGCCCAGGGAGCCTCTCGAGCACAGAGCGTGGCTTTGAGGTCCGGTGTCTTCTCCGGAGCTCATCCGGATTTTTTTTTCAGATTCTTCTGGATTATTTGGACTCGATCAGGACCATTGTGTGGTTTTGGGCTGGCTCGCCAAAGGTCCAGCTCTATCCTAAAGCATCTGCTGCTCAACGGCTGCAGAGAGTGGATCAGAACTGGACCAAGGCTGGTGAGTACCCGTATAAATTTTGCAGTACTGTACAGTACATGTACATATGTTGTTAGAATTACATACCGGTAGGTTTAAGAGTTTAGAACGTTGCAAGAGTGTGGGAAGAGTTTATAAAGCCTTAAAATATATAAAGTAATTTCCGGACTATAAGCTGCTACTTTTTTCACACTCTTTGAACTTTGGCTTATACAATGCTGCGGCTAATTTATGGACTTTTTTTTTTTGATGGGTGAACGAGCTTCATGCCACCAAAACATTTAGCTTCGTCCAACCCAGGCGCTCACATAGCTGCCCAGTGCACGTCTCTCTTGGGGAGTAGTGATCAGTGACTTCCTGGTAGACTACTGTATATATATATATGAAAAAAAATTTGTATTTGTGCGTGTTACCGGTATATAATTAATTAAAAGTTAAAAAATATATATATTTCTATCTAAATATCTCATGTTACAATGTGAACACTTGCAGCTTATAGGCAGAGTGCAGCCTATTTATGTAAAATGTTAAATTTCTTTTTAAATTTAGCGGGTGCGGCTTGTAGTCAGATGTGCACAATAGTCCAGAAATTACAGTATACATACTAAAATAAATATAGTGTTTCTACTTTGCGGTTTTTCCTCTTATTGCGGGGGTGTCTGGAACGTAACCACGTGATGATCGAGGGACGGCTGTAGTTCAGGAGAACCGTTTATATGTTTGAATTCGTGCTTTGCAATGAGGAGCTTTATCTGTTTTAATGAATATTTGAATAAACGAGTCCGTTATAATTCTATCAAACATTTGTTTTTCCCTAATCTGTTCTTTTAAGCACCGCTGGTGTTTGTGCATGATCTTTTGCTAATCTGTAATTTCAAGATTATAGTCTTTGGTGTTCAGTTTAATCTTTCACATTCCTAAGCTGCACCGTTTCTTCATTAAACATTTAAAGCGATCGTTACAAGTTGTAGCAGTTTTATCTTGATTTTACAGCGGGGTTAAGCAAAGGGACCGCCGCGTTTAATTAGGGATCAATAAGAGGAAAGTGGCTGGAAGCTTCCCAGCAGAGTCGTTCCTCGGTGTTCGTGTCCATGTGAGGGCTGTTTGTGTCTGCGTGTGTTCAGTGATCTCTGCGGTGGCTCCTACTTGTGATGGACGGAGGAAGGGAAAAGGAAGGCACGCGTGTCTCCATGGCAACCCACCTGCTTGTTGGCCTTTACAAAGCCGGGCAGGGTGGAAAAGAGAGAAGGGCTAACCGTTACTGACAGGCCACTCTGAAACAAGGGGGAGGCCCACATGCCGCCCGCCGACTCCAACAGCATCACCATGCGCAGCGTCAGAACCGAGCCAACATGCAGGCAGCGTCCGCGGCTATGACACAGACACCCTCCCGCCGCCGCATTCCTCCAACGCCCTGCGCATTCCACGCTGGACCAGCAGGCTGGTAGGGCCGCAGGTTGCCATGCCAACGGACAACACTCAGCACCCCATCCCGCCCAGCAGAACCCACCCCCAGTGGTGACACAGACACAGAGGACATGCTCCAACACCCGTCAGACTGGACCAGACGCAGAGCGGCTCAAACCGAGCGGAGTGAAGCAGAACACATCGGGAGTGTGAGAGTGGAAGAGGTTCGTCTGACCCACAGTGACCGAACACTCTGTGGGTTCAGCCGGGATCACACCATGGTCACAACCAACAGGAATTTATTTATTTGAAGTTTTCAAGACGTGAATCTACCAGTGATGTCATTAGCCTTACAGATGTCTGTATTTTATTTTAAATGTTATGATGACATATTCTGTAAACTGGCTCTTGTGACATGTTGTACACGTTAACTTAACACGTTGTACACGTTAGATTAACACGTTGTACACGTTAGCTTAACACGTTGTACACGTTAGCTTAACACGTTGTACACATTAGCTTAACACGTTGTACACGTAAGCTTAACACGTTGTACACGTTAGCTTACACGTTAGCTTACCACGTTGTACACGTTAGCTTAACACGTTGTACATGTTAGTTTAACACGTTGTACACGTTAGCTTAACACATTGTACACGTTAGCTTAACATGTTGTACACGTTAGCTTAACATGTACACATTAGCTTAACACGTTGTACACGTTAGCTTAACACGTTGTACACGTTAGCTTAACATGTACACGTTAGCTTAACACGTTGTACACATTAGATTAACATGTTATAAATGCTAGCAGAAATATGCAAAACAAACTTATATGTTTGTGTTTCTATGTCGTTAAGGTTCAGTCTAGTTATGGAAACACGATGACTTACAAAAGGTTTTGTGTAAGATGTTTAATTTAAATTTCCTTAAATCTCGTTGAAAATTTTCTGTTTTTAAATCAATCTTTTTTGTTTAACTAAGGATATTGGGGGCCTGATGGATATTGTCCGAGGGCCTTAAGTTGCCCATGTCTGCATTAGATGGACATCTACAAATGATTTTCCTTGGAAATCAAACCAACATGGCTGATATAGCAAAATGGTCTTAGAAAACGCACTAAAAACTACAAATAACATTTACAGGTATTGTGCTTAAAACCTTGTGTAGTGGTAGCGGAGGGTCATTAACGACGCATGGTTAATCAGGATCTTTGCTAAAAACTAGCATTAATTGTTGGTGTCAACCTTGCTGTTAGCAAAATACCTCAAACTGGGTGGATACTGCGTAGATTTTAGTGGAACTCTCAAAGTAACATTGGGTGTACATGTACCTTTTTGGAGTTAGTTTAAAATGGCTGCCACAGTTAAGTGACGATAGTCAACGTATGACTATAACTCAGTCTGCGTGTGACATCTCATGATGTACATACAATTATTTTCAACGTTTTATCGTCTCCTTTCAACACAAAATAATTGCAGTCTTAAACTCTTGAATGACATTTTAATGTGACAAAGTACTATCTAACTACTATGTAATACAATGTCTACTGGCTGGCTGTATAATGAACAAAGTAAAGCAATCCTTGCAGATCAGTTCCAGTCTTTAATGTAAACATTTAGTTTTGTATTTGCATCTGAGCAAAGATTCTTACCTAATAATCTTAACTTTCCTCAGGACACCTTGCTTTTGTTTACACCTCTGATTTTAAGAAGATTTCCCTCAAATAACTGTAAATTGTTTAGCTCTGATTGTCTATACCCGACAAACTCACTGACTTCTTACAGCTTAAATCAAATTTTGCAGATTATTACTCGGAGCATGCTCCTCACTACTTAATTATGGAATATGCTACTGCATGAATATTCAGTTTATTTTATCCGAGCACAATTATGAGCAAGACAATTTGGGTAAAACAGTTTAAACTTTAAGGGATCGTGACCATGGCATAAGGCTATACCTCTCGAAGCTGCGCTGATATTGTAGAAAGAAAAGATAATTTACTCCTTTGAGATTTGAGTTTTCTACATCAAAGGATCTTTTCTGCACTCTGTTCATTATTATTTGTTTGCTTTCTAAGGAGTGACCTTCCATCCACAGACACGATGCGCTCCACTCCACTCTGCAAGCCATAATCTGATGCCCTGCAGGACTCGAGCCGTTTGGGACGTCACCTCACAGGAACACAATGCAGCAAAGAGCAGATAAACAGATAGGAGAGCAAAACAGTAAGAGGTTTGGCTGCTGAACTACCACTCAGTCTGGCAGAAAACACACACTCACACTCATGCAGTGAAGTTGCAGCGCTGTGATCACCCAGCTAACCTGACGGCCTTGTCCCCTCTGTATACGGCTGCTCTGAAATGTCCTGCAACTCTAAGCAACGGCAGTCACTGTTAATCCTCATTTATTCAGTCATCAATAGCTTAATTGTTCATCAACCAAACAACAGATTATGCAAAGATTAAAGAAACATAGAAAATGCTTTAGATAAGTATTTGTTGTTCAGTAAATCAAATACTTGTACTTGTTATTTACTGGATGTAGGCCTGTCGCGATAAACAAATCAGTTAATCACATGATAAATGACAATTATCGACCTCAGTTTCATTTATCGGCTTTATCGTTTCTTTGTGTCTCTCTCTTTCTACTGAAGACACTGGATGACAAAAAGCTCAACTCCGGTGCTCTTCACTGACCCCTCTATTTAAAATCCATTTTAACGATTCAAAAATCACGTTTTTGGTTCGTTAAAAGCAGCTAAGCTGAGAAGCTAAGCTACAAGCTAAGCTAACAGGCCGACCTCGGGGAAAAAAACCTCCGTCTTGTCCAAGCTCCAAAATTCACAGTTGAAACCAGTGCCTTTGTGTAAAAAGTTTTTCTCTGCAAAAAGAAGCGGAGAACTTGTTTACTGATTCTTTATTGAAAAATGTTTTGTTAAAGAGCTCAAACCACATCGAGTGTCTGCCATTTTGAGAACAAAAGAGTCAGCCCTTGTCACATCAAGGGTCCTCCCTCCCATTTTTCTTAAAGAGACACGCTGCTCGCTCCCTCCCTCACTATCCATCCTTCGAATCAATCAGTCTTATATTGCCATCCGGTGGTCAAAAAAGGTAATACACTCAAAACACATTAAACATTTCTTCTTAAATTTGACAATAATTACTAATTATTGTCAAATTTCAAACAATATTATCGTTTATCGCAATAATTTCTGAGACAGTCGCCCAGCAAAATTTGTTATCGTGACAGGCCTAGCTGGATGCTGGTGAAAGGACAAACTCCACAGCTGGCAGTACCACTCGCGTGTTGTAAAAGTGATAAAAGGTACCCAGATTACCTTGTAAATATCCTAGATTTACTCGATTCATGACATCGCTCGCAGTGAGATTAGACACATCCTCTACAAGCCAAAAGAGGGTAACAGAGGAGTCAGAGAAAGAAGGGGGGGGGGGGGGGGCAGGAAGAAGAAGAAGAAGAAGAAAAAAAAGATCAGGCAGGCAGTGAAAGCATTTTAACTTTTTAAACTGTGAGAGCAAAGCAAAGAAGCCATGCGTTGTTTTGTGTTTAGAATCACTTCCAGATGATTCGTTATCATCCTGCTGCTGTAATTCAGAATAACAAACATTAAATCTTTCTTCCTGATGAAACATGTAAAAATCAAATTAAACGCACTATGATGTTTTTCAGGTGCCTCACTTCTGGAGTGTGATTCTGGTTTTGTCAAGTCGAGTCAGATTTTTGTCCTGAAGCGTAAAGCAAGGATGTACGAATCAAAGCAACTGAATGCAACTGATTCAAGCTTAATGAACCTTCTACATGTTGCCATGCTCACATGAACATGGCTGTGTTGGGGTGCAGGTGCCTTATGGTACATGGAGTTTGACTTGATTGATACAAGAAAAATTAGAAGTAAATGATATTTTCTATGAATACTCGGCATCATGTCAGAGAAACTGAGATGAGACAAAATGACTGAAACAGATTCAAGTTTTGAACACACGGCTGAGCCAACAGAAGAATTTAACTGGTTAATTAAAACCTCAGTGGGAAAAACCACCTGAATCCTGAATCTAAAGAGCGCTTTATACTTTTACTCTTTTAGATAATGCTTAAATTTATCATCAAAATAAAAGTAACTTAAAATTCTAGAAAATAATTTAGAAAATAAACGTCTCAGTTTCTCTGAAACCCACAACATATGGAATGACCACTGGTCTGGGTCTGGGTTCCTTCTTTTCACCTGATGGCTGGCTGGAACACAGCACCTCAGACTGAAGAAGTCTTTCGGATGAAAGACAAAACGTTTCTATAATTTTTTTGTTTTGTTTCGTTTTTGTGAATGTCCAGAGGACCAGATTTAACTTTTTTAGAAGGTGGGGCAATGTTGACCTCAACCAGTGATGTCGTCGGGAGGTGGAAGGAATACTTCTCGGACCTTCTCAATCCCATCGCCATGTCTTCCATGGAGGAAGCAGAGTCGGGGGACTTCAAGGTTGGTCTGTCCATAAATGTGGCTGAGGTTACCGAGGTGGTTAAAAAGCTCTGTGGCGGCAGGGCTCCGGGAGTGGACGAGATCCACCCTGATTTCTTCAAGGCCCTGGATGTTGTGGAGCTGTCTTGGTTGACACGTCTTTGCAACATTGCGTGGCCACTGGATTGACAGACTGGGGTGGTGGTTCCCCTCTTCAAAAATGGGAACTGGAGGGTGTGCTTCAATGACGGGGGCATCACTCTTCTTAGCCTCCCTGGTAAGGTCTATTCAGGGGTACTGGAGAAGCGAGTCCAATTGTTGGTTGAACCTCAGATCCAGGAGGAACAATGCGGGTTCCGTCCTGGCCGTGGAACACTGGACCAGCTCTTTACCCTCACTAGGGTCCTCGAGGGGTCATGGAAGTTTGCCCATCCAGTCTACATATGTTTTGTGGACTTGGAGAAAGCTTTCAACTGTGTTCCTTGAGGTAAACTGGGGGGGCTCTCTGTGAGCATGGAATTGAGGGCCTGTTGTTACGAACTGTTCAGTCCCTATACAAGAGGTGCAGGAGAGTTTGGTTCGCATTGCCGGCAGTAAGTCGGACCCCTTCAGGGTGGGAGTTGGACTCTGTCAGGGCTGCCCGTTGTCACAGATTCTGTTCATAACTTTTATGAAGAGAATTTCTCGGTGCAGCCAGGGGGAGATGGGAGTCCGGTTTGGTGGCCTCAGGATCTCATCTCTGCTCTTTGCAGATTATGTGGTCCTGTTGGCGTCATCGTGCCGTGATCTCCAGCTCTCACTTGAGCGGTTCACAGTCGAGTGTGAAGCAGCTGGGATGAGAATTAGCACCTTCAAATCTGAGACCATGGTCCTCAACCGGAAAAGGATGAATTGCCCTCTTCAGGTCGAGGTGAGGTGCCTCAAGTGGAGGCATTCAAGTATCTCTGGGTTTTGTTCACGAGTGCAGGAAGAATGGAGCGCAAGATTGACTGATGGATTGGTGCAGCATCTGTAGTATTGCGGACTCTGTGCTGGTCTGTTGTGGTGAAGAGAGAATTGAGCTGTAAGGCAAAGCTCTCTGTTTACTGGTCAGTCTACGTTCCTACCCTCACCTATGGTCACGAGCTCTGGGTATTAACCGAAAGAATGAGATCACAGATACAGGCAGTAGAAATGTTTCCTTGCAGGACAGCTGGACTCTCCCTTAGAGACAGGGTGAGAAGTTCAGTTATCAGGAGAGACTCCGAGTAGAACCGCTACTCCTCCACATCAAGAGGAGACTGTTGTGGTGGTTTGGGCATCGGTAAGGATGCCCCCTGGGGCCTGTTCATTCATGTTCGGGAGGATACCCTGGGGAAGACCCAGGACACGCTGGAGAGACTACGTCTCTTGGTTGGTCTGGGAACACCTTGGAGTCCTCCCAGAAGAGCTGGAAGAAGTGGCTGTGGAAAGAGATGTCTGGGCCTTCCTGCTCAAGCTGCTGCCCCCAAGACCCGACTTCAGAACAAGTGGAGGTTGATGGATGGATGGATGGATGGATGGATGGATGGATCTTGAATACTAAGACAATTCTAAACAGAATAATCACTGCCTTTAAAGCTTTTCACTCATCAGCCGACTAAAGTTTGTTTAAATGTATTTTGTTTTCTTCCAACTAAGGTTCTGTTTTGTCACTGAGAATAAATTCAACCTGTTAATGTTTCAGATTTTAAACTGCAGTCTGAACTAAATGTTTGCAGAACTAAGACTCCAATCTGAGACAAACATTTAAATTTAAATTATTCGTTTTTTACATGACGATTAATGTAATTTAAACAATAAAATAATACATAGACATAAATCATTGCCTATGACAGTGGATCACATCTAAAACACGTGTTCTATATTGGAAAACACTGCTTTGAGTTAAGTATGAACTGGTCATTTTAATGTATAGTCTGTTGCCATCGTTTGTTCCACTAACCGTATCCCACAGTGGGCAGGCCCAGGTGCTTCATGCGGTTCTTGACCAGCTCAGAAAGCTCCTGCCGCTCTGAGCGGCGATACAGATTGAGTCTCTGCTGTGAAAAGCCCTCCACTTTGCTCGTAGGTTTGTTGGTCTTCCTGCTCAGCCTCCGTGCCCACTGCATGCTCTTTTTCCTCAGCAGCGGGTGCTCCGATTGGTCGCTCATGGCGGAGTTTCTGTGCGATGTCTTCTCTCCACGGTCGCGGTGTTCCTCGCCCTGGTCCGCATTGATGGATGCTCGAGACTGCAAGAACAACCTTCTGTCAGTTAGGACTTTAGGTGCCGGCAATCCCATCCGAACCTGCTTTAAGTGACGCAGAACTGGATTATCAAATTCACATCTTACCTGTGAATTACCGTCCTTCTGAAACAGAAAGCCAGACAGAACAAAAAACAAAAACACAACAAAACATGGGTTATTTGAATCAAGTTAAACAAGTTAAAGATTTCAAATCTGTAAGTAAACTAGTAAATATTTACATTTACTATTTTAATTACTCCAAAGTTCATGCTCAATAATCAAGGTATACAACCCAACAATATTCAGTCAGGTCATCTGGATGGTTTCTTTTTTTTTTTTTTTTTTTTTTGCTGAGACATTTTGTCATTCATCCAGAGGACTTCTTCAATCTGAGGAGCCATCAAACAAACTGATTCCCACAAACAGCACACTCAAAAGTGGAATAAAAACAGTTTGCTGGTGCTAAGATGGCCTCCGGGGCCCGCCCTCTCCCGTCAACTCCTCTGAGACAGTCATACCAAAGTGGTTCAAAACACCAAAGTTCATGCTCAGTTCTCAGATTGAAGAAGTCATTTGGATGAAGGACGAAACGTCTCAGCAAAAAAGAAATCGTGCAGATGACCAGACTGAACAGTGTTGTATTTTAATTACTATTTAGAGCAAGAAATATCCTCAGCCAGCTTCCTGATTATTAATACTTGAGAGCTGGATTTTAGCGGCTTGTTCAGGTATTCATTAATGAAAATGTAAAAAGCAACTATGTGCTTAAACACAGCAACATTAACCAAAATGCTACTTTAGTTCACTAACTTGTTATGTATTACTGCCTTACATTTGAAATGACACTGATGTAAGATGGTTGCTACAGCTAACTGAGTTTAGCAAATACAAAAATGTATTTTTGAACTTTTTAGTCATGAAATTGTCCCATTTATTTATATGAAGGGGTGGGACCTAAATAATGGAGTGCAGCCAGCCACTGGAGGGCACTCATCTTCTATCCCATCAATATGCAGCTTCCCGTTGTCTCAATAAATCTTGATCACGTTTGACTTAAAACAAAAGAAAAGTTATAAAAGTGTTTAAATAATGGGAAATATTATACTAGATGTGAAGGCAGGGGCCAACATGAAGCATGGATTAAACGGAACTTGCCTCGGACGCAGTGAACATGTGTGACTCGGTCCGGTAGATACCGATGGGGATCTCTGCACTGGAAGAACAAAACTTCTGGAAGAGTCTGCCGTACGTCCTGATCCACAAGTCCTCCTCCGTGATTTTTATCTGAGGACAGAAATAAACAAGTTACTTAGCAATGCACATTATTGTTATTGTTTTAACTAAAACTAGCGTTCTTACGTACAACACACAGGTAACCAGAGCCAGGAGTGGTGTCCAGACCAAGAAGAAGTCGTGTAATGGCGATCATGTAGTCCTTCACAAATGACTGGAAAAAAAACAGAGAATAAAAACAAGCCCATATGAAACTAATCTACCAGATACAGATCAAGACTTCTTTGAGGACACATTCTGAGTCGGATACCACCGACAGACGTGCACATCTCTTAGGCGTATAATTACCTTGACCTTTTTTTTATAATGAACTAGAGTTCAATCCCTGAGGTTTGTTCTCCCACCTGGTAAAGCAGCGTGTCGAGCATGCTGATACTGAACACCCTGCCTGCAGCAAACGGCAGCCGGAACATGAAGGCCAGGTTGGAGCCCTTATCACGCTCTATCTGAAAACAATAAAACAACAAGGCAACAAAAACACATCTGAGAAACAACATCCTTCACTTTTTACTGCAACTTGTCACATATTGCTCTTTTGCTAATGACAAGAAAAGATGCTTGGTTACCCCATTAGAAACAAATTTATTTTAATATGAAGGCAACATTGCAACGTTCAAGCATGAATAAAATGTTGAGCTTTATAATGTCAGCAAAAAAAGTGACAACAACAATAAAATCAGATGCAACACTGATGATATTTGGTTCACAAGAGAAACATTTAAAGACAAATCAAAACTATTTTCAGATGTGGACACTGCAGGGTCCAACATTACCCACACCTAAGACCAAAGGAGGGTTTACCTGAAAGATAAACATGAGACAACAACAACCACCAGGCATTTAAATAATTTGAGCACAACACTGTTTAAAGTGCTCAGATACATTCCTCATATCAGCAGGTGGCTGTGGCTGAGTGGTTAGAGCAGTCGTTCTCCAATGCAAGAGTTGGGGGTTTGAATCCAAGCAGTCACAGGCCGAAGTTCCCTGGGCAAGACACTGAACCCCTCATTGCCTCGATGTGTGTCCCATCGGTGTATGTTCTAGAATTGCGCTGCTCGGGGTGGCTGCATGTCGGAGTAGCTCAGTTACGTTCATTATGAGTTATTGCTTTTGAAAACTTTTAATTCCTCTTTTTCTGGATGTAAATCGCTTTTTTTGGATGATTACTTCCTCTGGTGTCAGATGTTGCACAGCTGGAAGGATTTTTACTGAAATCTTTTTACTTTTGGGCATTTGTTATGATGCGTAACCATGGCAACAAGGTGGGTTTTTTTTTAACAACCCGGAGCAGCTGATCTCAAAAGCTTAACTATCTCAATTACAGCTCCAAATCCCAAATGAGTTGAAAAGGAGGTGCCGTGGATGAATTCCCATCAACCTGGAGGAATGAGATCTAAATCACTGACTAGTCTCTTTAGAATGATTTGTTCAGTTAGCGTTGTAGAGATCTAGTAGAGTGCTGTATGAATGGGTAAATGAGGACACAGATTGTAGTGTAAAGCGCTTTGAGTGTCTTGATAAGATAGAAAGCTGCTATATAAGTGCAGTCCATTTACAGTCCATATATCAGTACAACCAACCATAATGTAATCAAATTCAACTGGTTTGTTTTTACACAAATACGTGCTGTTTATCCATGTTTTATGGCTGAGAATAAGCTTAAAAGCAATTTTAATTCATCAGTAATGCTATTTATTTTAGTTAAAAATGTTAGCAATTATTTCTTAAACTTTGCTTGAGTTTACAGACAATTTCAGGTGTTAAATTTAGAGCTTGTGAATTTTTCTTATTTTGTTTTCTGCTTCTGACAAACAAGCCAAACAGGTTTTAAACCCCGCTGAACTGATAAAGATGAACAACAACAACAGTACTGAATCATTCTAATCCTCTTCAAACTGTCTCCTCCTCCTCTTCGTACCGTTGAATACATGGCTGCAGGATAAAGTTTCACATCTCACACTTTCAGACAGAAAAGGAAACGATCTGATTCGAAGTTTGAAAGCCGTGACTTTGACACCTGGTCTGGAAAGCCTTACCTTCTCCAGTTTGGACAGAGCGAGCGAGTAGCAGTCCTTTGCTCTGAACTGCATGAACCTCATGTTGGACGGGTGCGTGAGCTCCGTGATGATGCTGAGACTGGGGAACAATCTGAGCGACGAGGAGGAAACGAGACAGGAAGTTGTCATGGAGACGTTAAAAGATTCGTGCCAGGAAGAACTCGTGGTGCGGCAGTGACAAATCTTTTAAATTCTGTTTTATACAAACAACAGTCTGCTACAGTCTTATTGAAAACTGATACGTTCATTTTGTGAATCCGGTGCACGCTTGAGCCAAAACGGATCCGGTGAAAACAAACACACGTACGCGCTCGGTTGAATACCTGAACATTGTTTGGACGTTGACGATAGTCTTGGCGTCTGCCATGTAGTCCTCCTCAGCACTCATGGTGCTCTCCTTGTCCACAACCACCAAGTTGTCAGCATAGATGATGCCACACTGGAGCAGGTTGTCCAAGCTAGAGCATTCAAGAACCACAAACATTTATTATATCAGTAATAAACATCAGTCATTTCCTCCATCAAGCCCTGCACAAACCTAATTTGTTACAGTCAATTCAATATTCTGCATTGTATTATGTAACTCGCACAAAAAGCAGTTTATAACTAGACATTTCTTTTAAATGATCAGCTGACAGGTTTAATGTGTTTATGGTTAAATGATTATGGAGAAATTTCCACTCTTTTAAAAAAATGTCTCTACAACTATTTATTTTTATTTATAAGGACACACATTACAGTAAATAAAACTTTTTATCACTTTAAAATTGAGACTTTTGGTTGTTGCAAAACAATTGTTTTGTATAACTGACACTCTGCTTCCTTGTTCAATTCAATTACAACCTAATTACACTTGACTCTAAATGTTTGTCAAATCCTTCAATCGACTGGTTATTTGAACTCTGAGCGTCTTTTGAGCTAAAACGAGCACCTTTTTGTGTTTAATACTAAACATCAAGGCCAAGCTGGATCCAAATACTTTGCTCATTCACGACAAATTCTTTTATCTTGTTTAAATGAAGCTGATTTAATAGGATCAAAACCAGTGAAGGTGAACACTGGAATAGATGAACAGCTGCTAAGCATTTTAGTTTAGTTTGAGGATTTTGCCCTTAACGTTCACTAGGGAGTATTTTACATCATATATCATACTTAACACAAAACGTTTTGCACAAGCTTTCTTCTATGATGGTGCTTTAAAAACAGCAAAGCACTTACTTATCAATGGTTCCAGCCATGAAGTAAACCATAGGAAAGCAGCAAATGGCCTCTAAGAAGTGGTTGTCTGGTCTGCAGAAAAACAAGAGAAGCAGAGGAGCATCAGGCGCTGATTATCTACAAAACCCCAGTGAGCGATTACCCTGCTCTTCCAGTCATTTCCTGAAATGTGCTTGCAGCTGATGAGAACTGGGGGGGAAAAATGTTTGAATTTCTTCTTGAATGAGGTGGAAATCAATATTTAACACTGCAATGCAACAAAAAAACTGGTTGCCATGGAAACTGCCCGAGAGTCACTGAGCTGGAGCTTTTCGCGCTCTGTATTTGTGTTTATCGGCTTCAGTATCGATGAAGCCAAAGTTAAAGAATGAAACAGAAGCACTGCAGTGCAAATGTAACGTAATGTAGTGTTCACACAGCCAAAAACACAAGTTAAGACAAATACCACGAGAGAACATGTGGGGTAGAACTGAAGTCTGAAATCCTGTTCATTTCTTTAAGTTCTTGGCGTTTTCTTTGTAATTTTCTTTGTGAAAAATGTATTTTCATTATATTCTTATTTTTGCTGCAACTACCATCGTAAACTCAAAATGTATCGTTAGAAAAACACCCTGCTGAAGCCACACAACAACAGTCTGCACATGTTCAGTTTTATGCACTTAAATCTCTCAAATGACAGCAACAATGAATGCAAGGATAAAAAAAGTATTTCCATTAGATCATTGCCAACACTGTGCATGTAATTCAGCTCATTTTGACCGAACTACAAATTAGCATCTCTTCAAAGTGTTAAATGTTTAGGGCTAAAGCTCTTTGGGGTAGCTGTTAGTTTTCAAAGTGATGATAGGATTTTCAGTGCAGAAGTAAAAACAGTGATGCTGAATGGTCTTACGGGTAGTCCAGTAGCAGCACTATGGGGTTGAGCTCCTTTCTGGGACGATAATAAGCTCGCAGAGGGACTATGAAGTTGTAGAGACCATTTCCTGCAGTCTCCGCAGACACGATAATCAGCTTATTTTTGAAGCCGTACGCTTTAGCGTCCTCGAAGCTGTTGTGTGTGCAGCCCTGGGCAGAGACAGAGTTCAGCAAGAAGTCAGGCGTTCTGTTGTTCTCATGCAGGGACAAATCAGGACTTTCTTTCAAAATAACGAGAATCAAAAAGCGCGTATGCAAATTTCACAGAGCTGTCTGCGTGTGCGGCAGCACCTTATCGAGGCGAAGGCAGCAGAACGGAGCTTTCTGCGGTAGGAGGTGGCAAAGAGTTGGAGAGCTGCCGATGTAGGGCGAGTTTGGGGGGTAGCCCTTCACAAAACTGGAGCAGGAGAAACAAGAAGCTTACATTCAAACATAGAAGAGTCAAAAAACTACACTTTATTACACGTTAGACATCAGATATGTAGACGAGCAGCTATAACTTACTGACATTTAAGTCATCCTGGTTTAAGATGGCTGCCACAGCTGATCAACTGCAGCTATCACAAATACAGATGCCACACATGTTGAGCTTTTGGTGACAAACGGCTGTCAGTAGCTGAGAGTGATCTCTAACACAGGGGCTCTCAAACTTCGTGGGTTCAGGGACCCCCTCATAACCCTCATGTTTATTAAATAATTTTCTTCAGTTTGTCTCTTTAATGCGATGGAAATATTTGTGTAACATAAATATTAAGACCTGTTCTTTAATAGTGCTAATACAATTTTTATACTTTTAAACATGGGTTTTTTTTTCCATTCAAGACACGATTAACTAAAATTTTCATTTCAACTGCCAAAAATGACAGTTTTGGGAAAATCTGCAGTTTCAAAAACCACTTTAAAACTTTACCTATTCACATAATGAACATAATAAATGTATCACCGCTTCTTCAAGATAATACATACAACTGAACAGAATCATAACAGCAGCAGTCATACCAAGTAACAGGGCTTCATTTGTAAACCGATCGACGGCAGAATGCAAATAACGGGCGGGCTGGTGGGGGTGTGTGTGTCTGGGGGTCTTCCCCATAAAATTTTGAATAAAGTAGATATGATTTCCTGCATTTTGGTGCATTTTAACAGGTTGATAAACATTGATGTGCTTGTAAAAGAAAATATATTTTTGTGGACCCCAGTTTGAGAACCACTTCTCTAACACATACTCTGAAAACTACCTGATCACACGAGATGTTTGATTTAAACTCGGGCATGAAAGATGGCAGCAGATCAGCATTCCTTTAATCTGACATTTCTGAAAGTTGGCTCCGTTCGACCTGCTCACTTATGGAGTGAATCTGCTGCCAAACACAAAAGAAAAGAGATCGATTGAGTAAAATAAGTGTCTAGATCAAATATCAGGGATCAAGCAGGGTTGTGGAGCGCCATAAAGACAGAGCTCGGTGTTCCAACACATGGAGGAGGCTTTGATTCCACAAAAATGGTTAGAATCTCTAAACTCCTTTTATAATGACTTTAATTATATTAATTATCACAATGAATCACTGCTTTTGTAACAGTGTTTCTAGTTCAAGCTCATTAAATTCTGCAGCAGCTCTGCTCAAATTACTGATGTTCTTCAGCCTAAAGGTGTGACCACGAGGAAGCCTGAGGTTTTGTTTTGGTCCTGCTTTGTTTTGCAGTAAAATGTCAGCTTGATTTGTGCCCTTTAATATTTAATTTGTCAGATGCAGTTAGCCTAATCAATTGCCTTCCGTGTTACCAATAAAATATCCCAGCTGTGATTAGTTGTTGCTGTCAATCCACCACCACATGGAGGCACTGTGGGACCTTCACTGCGGTCTGCAGTTACCTTCAACACATTTCAGAACTTCAAAAACCTTAAGAACTGGCTGTGAGCCTGTGATACTGCAGAGGCTCAGAAGACCCCGTTTGGTCCAAAGCTCACCTAATGTCAGGGTCAGCCCGACAGCTTCTCCTCTCGAACGTCTCAGGATTTACAAGTCCACCTGAATTTGCTACAAGTCCAACCCAAGCCGAAGTTTTCTTTTTACTTAAAATGTATCGTTATCTTTCTCTGTCTGGGTGCTGCCAGCATGAAGCTTACTTCAAGAAAAGCTGCCTGTAATG